TCATAGAGGTATTCCAATCTAGGGTATTCCATCCTAGGGATGACCGGGCCCTGTGATTGACTGGACCTGATACGTTTGGTATTCTAGGCCGAGGCTGGTTGGGCCAGGTATGAGTGTTCGTGTTTTAGGATGATTTTGTATGATGATGAGGGACAATTGTCCTGACAGCACAAAGGGTTCGCCTCGGAGAGAGGGGAAAGTTGGGTTTCCGATACGTTGGATCATCAGGAATTGGTCAGTTGGCAAAGTGGCTTGTAGGTTAGACCTTTCTAAAAGGTTCGGTTGGGTTTTGCATCATCTTTCACGTTTCGCAGTTGCGAAAGTGTATCATGGATTAGGACGCGGTAGTATCGTTGGATGACATTCAGGTCGGTGAGCGCCTGGATTATGTGGAGAGGCCTGTGGCCATTCTGGAGAGAGGGGTGAAGGTTCTGCGGGACAAGGAGGGGTACCTTTGGTAAGGGTACAATGGGAGCCCTAAAGAGGGTCCGAGTTGAACGTGGGAGCCGGAGGCAGAGATGCGGGAGCACTATCCGAGGATGTTCACCGCAGCAGACTTCGAGGACGAAGTCTAGTCCAAGTGGGGGAGAATTGTAACGCCCCGATTCTCGAATACCAATATATGGTTATTGAATTATCATGAATTCAAGGTCTACTCGACGAGTTGGTTGCCTGACTCGTCGAGTAGTAGCAGCGGGTTTGGACCACGTGTTAAACCAACTGGCCGAGTCGGAAGAGTGACTCGACGAGTTGGAGCTGGAAGGTAAAACCCTAATTTTCGGGGTTTGGCACCCTATTTAAAGAATCATAAGCCACCTTCAGCCTCTTTACAGTCCCTTGAGAGCTTAGCAAACCCTAATACGTGTGTGTGTGCCCCATTGTTGTTTCAAGCTTGGAAGAGGATTCTTGGTGAGAAGAGCTTGGGGGAAACATGTGGATTGAAGCAAGGAATTCGTGGGGATCAAGATCTACTTCAGTTGGCATCTTGTGGGAAGGTATTAAGCTGTTATCCCAACTCCATTTCATTCTAGATCTCTTTGGATGAAATTAGGGCTTCTTGGTTTGGTTATGAAGCTATTTTTGGGTATGAGGTCAGATCTGAAGTTGTAACTTCAGATCTGAACTCTCTTTGATTTGTAAGTCCATAAAGCTATCAGCTTTGGCAAGTATGAACCCCTCATTGAGTGTAAAACCCCATTTCAAGCTGGATTTGGCATTATGAGTCATTAGAGCCTTGCATGCACGTAAAGTTTGCAACTTTACGTGATAAGCATGCCTTGGGAAGTTGGATCTGCAGTATGGAGTCTTAGCATGGCTTAAAAAGCATATGTATGGATGAAGTACTGAAGGGACTCGACGAGTCGCATGGTAGACTCGGCGAGTCATATGAAGATGGTAATGAACTCGACGGGTTGGATGAACAACTCGGCGAGTCCGATGAAGATTGCCTTGGACTCGGCAAGTGACATGGTGACTCGGCGAGTTGGCAAGTTATGCAAGGAACTCGGCGAGTAGCTAAAGATACTCGGTGAGTTGAGGTCAACATGGACTGTTGACCTTGATAGTTGACTTTGAATTTGACCAAGGGTTGAACATTTTGACTTTTGAGGATAATTGGTAAGCGGGTATTTATGATTGGATCATTGATGGTTATAGGTGTTGGAGGTTGGGGCAGTGTTTCGGGAGCGTGTTTTCGTGGTTCAGTCCGACATTGCAAGGTGAGTTATCCTCCCTATATCAATAGGGTCTAAGGCACCAATGCCGGCCCTTTATGGTTTGTATTTGGATTATTGCATGATATGCTTACTGATTTACATCCTGGTAGTTAGGATGGTGATATGCTATGTTAGTGACCGGTTAGGTCGATATCCTGGTTATAGGATTTTTGATATGTTTATTGATCTGTTAGATCGGCGTCCTGGTAATTAGGACGGTATTATGTTTAGTGACCTGGTTAGGTTCGATATCCTGGTATATAGGATGATGCTATGATAGTGACCGGTTAGGTCGGTATCCTGATTTGGATGTTGCTATACTATATGATCTGCTAGATTGGTTTGTTTGTCTATGGACTGTTATGTGATTACCTGTTATATGTGCACGTGGTTATTTGCTTGATGTTTGGGTTGAGGCGGTCCTGCTTTGTACTGAAGGCCAACATACCCTACGAGCGGTCCAGATAGACTGTAGGCCCGTATGGCGGTCCAGTCATACCGAAGGCTCGGGATAGATCCAGATGGACTTTAGGCCCGGTGCGGGCGGTCCAATCATATTGTAGACTCAGAGAGTGGACCGGGTGGACTGAAGGCCGGTGCGGGCGGACCAGTCACACTGTATACTCGAGATACATGGTTGTTCTGTATTTGTTGATATGATATGAATATGGTTATATGAGGTTGGTATTTTGGGGGTAACTTACTAAGCTTTCGGGCTTACAGTTTCAGTTTATTGTTTCAGGTTCGGCGGATGTCCGCGGGTAGGCGAAGGCGTGACCGTACACTTCCTCGACTTACGATTATGATTTCTGGGAACTCTGATGTATAAAATATTTTGAAAACAAATTGTAATAATTGAATGGTTTCAAATGAATCCAAAAGTTTTAAATTGGATCGAAATTTTGGGATGTTACACCCAGAGAGCGGTCCAGATAGGCCGAAGGACCGGTGAGGCAGTACAGTCATGTTGAAGGCTTTGTATGCATGTTGTTGTTTGTTATGTTATGTGGTGGTACTTTGGGGGAAACTCACTAAGCGTTGGTTTACAGTTTTAGTTTTGTTTCAGGTACTTCTGAGGACCGTGGCAAAGCGAAGGCGTAATCATGCATATCCTTCGGTTTTATGTTATCTGGATTGTTTGGAACACTCTGAGTTCCGAGAAAACACTTTTGAAACAATGGTTTTGTAAACATTATATATTGAATTGTTGTTTTTGAAAAGTTAATTTTTGTTGTGATTTTTGCGATGTTACACTATAGGTCTATTAGAGTACACAATCTCTTAGATCTTCCTTTTATTCAATGTTTGAACAAGTTTGAAGCACGTTTTACTGTCTATAATGAATATCTGCTTTATTTAATGAGACATCTAATGTGTTTCATAATCATCCAAAACTTTCTATAAGACAATGTCAAATACTCCAGTATGATGTGAGATACATCAACATCATCACAATAATGCTTCCATCAAAACATCATGATCACAATAAATATGTCATGAGATCTTTTAATATATATATAATTTCTATTTATCCTTAAAGAAGAACCTCAATATATTATATCAATTATAGAAATTATAACCATCAAATGTTAGTATCTCTTGAAACTCAACAAGAGAAAAGTTTTATAGGGGCGTAAAATATTAATAGTTATTTACATAATTTAACAAAATTTTATTTATATATAGTTATTTTTATATAAAAGACCGTCTTTTGTATAAATCATCTCTAAGATGTGTAATATATAAATAGTAGTACTTATATGTATATATTTCTTTTATATAAAACTACTTTTTATATAAATAAACTCTAACTAGTATAACAAGATATATACATAACTTATAAAATCATACTTTATGACATATTTTATAAGTTGTTATTTATCCAATAAATATTATTTCCATAAATAATAATTTCCCAATTAGTAAAATGTTATTTTCATAAAATAATAATTTCCCAATTAAATACAAGTGTTCATTATATTTATTAATAACCAAATTATTAATAAATGATCAATTAGTAGTAACTTGATAAATGTGTAACCCTATAGAATCATATGTTATTAAATATCATTCAATAATGATTCTTGAGCATATAAATCCAACATATTCACCACACACACACACTCTCTCTCTCTCTCATTTTCTCATCTTCAATGTTACCAACCAATAGCTATGATATTATATAATGAATCCAAAATATTTCAAAATATATAGCTTGCATATTTGACATAGACTCTTAATGCAAAAGGAGGTGCCAACGTTGAAAATTGTTGACGACCTTCGGATGGACGATATCGTTATGTTGGCGGGGTAGATGGGCGATGGTACCGCCATGAAAATGAATCCAACGACCATATGGTACCGATAAAGTGAAGCCAACCAGTGCCACTCGAGTAAAGCCAAGCGGGTTGGGTAGTTAATCCGTGAACATCTCTCTCTCTCTCTCTCTCTCTCTTCTCTCTCTCTCTCTCTCTCTCTCTCTCTCTCTCTCCTCTCCTCTTTTTCTTTTTAACACACACATACAAACATTTTTTTTATAAATTGTATGAATTTAATATTAGTAACAAACCTATCAATCTTTTGTTTTATTTTGTATTAAATTTATAGTTTACGAATTAGTTTTGTATGTTTTTTTATTTAGTTCATTATATATATATATATATATTATATATATATATATATATGAGTTAAGAGAGATGAAAAATAAGAATTTTCATATATTGTGCGACGAAAGAGATGAAAACATAAAGAAAAATTGTAACATATGAGTTGGAAATAATGACCTTCCTCTCTAACTAATTATGGTTCTTTTTCTTTTTTCATAGAAAAAAAATAACATTATTGAAAGTTATAGAAATAATTACCTAAATACACAAATAAATATTAGATATTTTCTGAAAAAATCATGATGATTTGTCATCTTGTCACAATATGGATTATATGAAAAAGAAATTATATGCCTTTGATATCTGATTAAATTAAAATTATATAATCAGTATAATCCTTTTTGTTAATAAAATAATAAAATTAATGTCTATTTTGTTTTTCGTTTCAGCTTGAATTCAATTAAAAAATATTTATATTTTTTATTAATTTTTATGTTTATTAATTACCTTTTTGTTAACTTTATTTTATTATTAAACTATGGTATTTTAAAAATAATATTGCTATTTTAACTAAAAAAAATTAAAGGAAATGAAGTGTGACCGAAGGGAAAATAAAGGGGAAAATTGAGATGACAAAAAGAAAAATTGAAATGTGAACTTGGTTTGGCCGACTCCTTTCCTTAAGCCTCTTTATATTGAGGAGTGCCCTTGGATGAAAATCGACGGATGAGATCAGAAGAAGCACAACTTTCTGCAGTGCAGGCGATTTATTTCTCCACGCATATACTTTCCGTCAAGTTACCGTCTGGATTCTGGAAGAAGAAAACACAACCCAATCGCATATCAACTTTTGTTCCATGAAAAATTCAGAATACTTATCAATAAATTTCGATCGGAACGTGTTAGATTTTTATAGAAAGCTGGATCAGGGAACAACTCCGTAGATCACACAGGTATGAAGTTTCATTCCAATTATTGTCCCTAAAATTTTGAGATCGAACTTTACATCCATGTGTATCGGTAAGTAAATCAAATGCTTCTATATCCTTCAACATTATCGCGAGCAACTTACGAGTTCTCGTTTTGATTTGTACATAAGGTATATAAATTGGGTGTCACTTTTTATTTTTATTATAATTTCGGAAATAACTGACATTTGCTGTCACCAATGGTTTGACAATTTTGATTGGTTGCCATGAGAAAGATAATTATGTCGTAGGATTCTTAAGAATTCATTTAAGCTCTGGAATGCAATATTTTGTGTTTATGAAGGTTTTTGTGTGATTAGGGCATCCAGCGCATTAGGGAAATGTTGCTGTGGTGGTGGTCATCGAGTTAAAATATGGAGAAGAAAAGAGTGGATGAGAGTGTGCAAGTACCAGCTTCAGGAAGAGTAGACAGATTCGGGTTTGTAAAACAGGAACATAACTCGCCTGATGGGCCATCTAGAAACAAGTCGGCTTTGGAGTATCAGAGGTAATGCAGGTTTATGTTATAACCATTGATTTCTAGTAGATCAAATTAATCTACCGATACTGATTTACTGTTATGTCAACTCCATTGGGTCTTTTTGATTGTTTGATGATGATTAGGTGCTAGTGTACCACAATGTTATTACATCTACAATCTACTACATATTTATCAATTTCTACTCAAACTCTTGAAGTCAAAAAGTAATGTAGACCTCTAAAATCAAGCAGGAGTGAGTGAGTGATCTCTCTTTTATGCTGTAATTAAATGAATGAAGCAATTAAACAGGGAACAGAAAATACTTAGAAAATGGAGGAAAATGATTGGTGTTGGAGGTAGTGATTGGAAGCATTATGTAAGAAGGAGAGGACATGTTGTTAAACGGCGTATACGGAAAGGAATTCCTGATTGTTTGAGAGGTCTTGTCTGGCAATTGATTTCTGGAAGCCGGGACCTCTTGCTCATGAACCCTGGTGTTTATGAGGTATTCCCAATTCTTCATTTTTCTTGTTACAATTTACAAATAAATGAAAGACTATAAGTGAAAATTATTTTCTTTTGTTGCAGCAACTGGTGATATATGAGACATCAGCTTCCGAGCTAGATATAATACGGGATATTTCACGCACTTTTCCATCACATGTGTTCTACCAGCAACGACATGGACCTGGTCAAAGATCACTTTACAATGTTTTAAAGGCCTACTCTGTATATGACAGGGAGGTTGGATATGTACAGGTAAATAAATACAATATAATTCAGTAATTCACATTACATTTTTGACCTTTTTTAACAAGACTCAACACACACTCACTACAGGGAATGGGATATTTAGCTGGTCTCTTGCTGCTTTACATGAGTGAAGAAGATGCATTTTGGCTGGTGGTGGCATTACTGAAAGGAGCAGTTCATGCTCCAATGGAAGGATTATATTTGGTAACTTTTTACCTTACCAACAAATTTATTTTTGGGTTTTAACTTTTAAATAATTAAGTTTTCTGGTGCAGGAGGGATTGCCACTGGTTCAACAATATTTGTTTCAGTTTGACCGTTTGATGAGGGAGTACATGCCCAAGTTAGGGGAGCACTTCACAGAAGAAATGATAAATCCAAGCATGTATGGAAGCCAGTGGTTTATTACTGTTTTCTCCTATTCTTTCCCCTTTCATCTGGCTCTTCGAATTTGGGATGTTTTTCTTTATGAGGTTAGTGGCATACAACATGCATATATATACATGTAAATAAAGATTATTCAATTTTCTTTGGAAAAAAGTAACCGGCTTTTGTATGTTCAGGGTGTTAAGATTGTTTTCAAAGTTGGCCTAGCTCTGCTCAAATATTGCCATGATGACTTGGTGCGTGGCTTTGAAATTTGGTGGAAAATAATATATATATATATATATATATATATATATATATATATATATATATATTTTATTTTGACTAAAATATAAAGATGGTGTTATTATTTGTGTAGGTGAAATTACCGTTTGAGAAGCTTATACATGCTCTTCGTAACTTCCCTGATGATGCAATGAATCCTGATACATTGCTTCCAATGGCCTACTCATTTAAGGTAGTTAAAATATTGACTTTTCTTGTTTACATTACATTTACATGTTGTGTTTTTTGTTCATGGAGCATTTATATATAATGTGTTTCATATTTGTGATGTTTTAAGGTATCCAAGCGTTTGGAGGAACTTAAACTGGAGTATGAGAAGATACATGGGAAGGTAGCAGAATCTAAGTCGAAGCAAAAACAGCTGCAGCTGGCTTGAGTAACAAAAACAGTGCATACTGCATACATATTATTTTGTAAATATGCGTATATGATCTTTCTGAGGATCATTATCTACACCAATTTTTTCTTTGTAACTAAGGCATTAGAATCTTGAAATGTTGATAGTGTCGTTTGAGACATCATTGCATTTTGAGTGGTATTTTTCATGTTTGCAAGTGAAGCTTTCAGCTTAGATGACATTTTTCGTACTAAATGGTGAAAAGAAGATAAAACGTCAAGACTGTATATATTTTATTTGGGATAATGACTTAAAAGGGTAATATATTATTTGATTTGTACACATTTAGTCGCTGACTTTTTTTTTCGTCCACATTTACACCTTCAACTTGTTAAACTGTACACATTTAGTCCTTATGACCGGCTATTCCAGGTTAGCCGGTAAAAATGACTTAATAGGGTAATATATTTCTCACTTTGTATACGTTTAGTCCTTAATACTTTTGTACACATTTAGTCCTTAATATTTTTTTGTTGCAAAATAAGTTATTTTTGTTTTTTTACTCATTCAGTACTTATGAACGATAATATGTTTGTTGTATCGGGTATTTTGTGGGATACTCACTAAACTTTGTGCTTACCCAATTGTTTATGTTTTCAGGTTCTATCGTTGATCGTGGGAAGACGAATGCATGACTGTACACACTCATCAATAGTATTGAGGATTCCGCGTTTCTTATATTATTCTGATTTTCGATAAATATATTTTGGAATAAACGTTTTTTTTTCTTAATAATGGATTTATAATTAGGAACTTTTGCCTTATTTAAAAATGAAAAATATTTGGTTGTGAAAATGAGACGCTACACATAAACATCAACAACCTCACACACTTCATAATGATTGTCCCACATTCATAAGTATTAAATGAGTACAAAAAACAAAAATGACTTATTTTGAAAAAAAAAATATTAAGGACTAAATGTGTACACAAATATTAAGGACTGAATGTGTACAAAAATATTAAGGACTAAATGTGTACAAAATGAGAAATATATTACCCTATTAAGTCATTTTTCTCGGCTAACCTGAAGTAACCGTTCATAATGACTGAATGTGTACAGTTTAACAAGTTGAAAGGGTAAATGTGGACGAAAAAAAAACTCAGTGACAAAATATGTACTAATCGAAAAATATATTACCCTTTTAAGTCATTATCCCTATTTTATTTCGTGGTAATAAATAGCAAATTTAACAAATATGTCACACTTGCTGACATGGGAAATTAAATAACAACAATAAATATAATTTTCAAACAGAATATGTATTACCTCAAATGGAGAGGATTTTTGTACATCAAGAAAAAGGTGATTAGAAGAATTTAAAGTTTTCTGAATGCGGGCTTCCTTGAGAACCTGCTGCCTGCTGCACATATGAAGGGAATGGTCATTATATTATAGTATATGATGAGAAAACTATCATAATTTGTTTAGAAATTTTTTTCATAACACGTGCTCTAGATTGGGTCTTGTATTATTTTGTACTTGTACAAGTTTTTGAAGGATTATTCGTGGAAAAAATAAAACTTCTACATGGTATATTAGCAAAATCCTAGCCCTCATCTCTCACCTCAGGGTGCAAACCCTATCCATCTTTTCTCACCTCCTTTTCTCTCTCTCACGACCTAAACCTTAAGCATCATACTCTCCTCTCTACCTCTCACACCCATAGCATGTAGAATCATCGGGGAAACCATGTAGAATTACAAGCATCAAAACCTTCATCCGACTCACTTTTGAATTTGACAAACTTAACTATGATGCATGACATTAATTGTTTGAGACTTAATGCATGAGGTTCAATGTGCTTGGTCACATTGATGCCTTGGTGGCACTAGGCACATCTCCATGCAATCATGATGAGCCCAAACAAATTAAACTTGATTCTATTGTCAGTCTATGGATTTACAGCAAGCACTATCTCCAAATCACTCATTTGGATTATCCTCAAGAAAGGACTCATAGCTTGGGCAATATGAACGAGCCTGGAACATCTCTTACAAGACAACAAAAAAGCAAAAACCATCCAACTTGACAAACAAACAGTGCAACATTGTAATTGCGGACTTCTCCATCCTAAAGTACGGCAAACGTATCAAAACCATGACTAATCAATCTCTTTGACACCATTGATGCTAGTGTCCCTAAAAAGAATTGTAACCTACATGATCAATGTATTGTCTGAAAAGTACGAACACGTTGCTAGTGTCACTCGTCCATGCTCTCCCCTTCCATCATTCATGCAAGCCCGCTCCTTAAAACGTGACTGATTTTCGGACCCACCAAACCCTCCTCAAATGTGACTTGATCGGTGACCACCTCATGACTACGTCTCCTCCTCTAGCTATCGTGCCACCTAGCCAACTATTAGGAATGACAATTTTTAGTCGCTTAATTCTTGTCAATCAATTGCAGTTCATTTCAAATGTTAGTGTCATGTCATTACTAGCATGTAGTTAATTGGATGTTTGATCTTTTTTAATTCAAATTTATGGACATGTCCTCTCTCCCCTCTAAGTGTTAGTGGCATTTATTATTATGTTTTTTTAGAGAATTCTGTATATGCCCTTGTTAAACATTAAAATATCATATTTACCAATCAAAAATCTAAATATCATATTTAATTATTTATCCTTCAAAAACTTCAAAATATCATATTTATCCGACCAAGAATCTAAATATCATATTTACCATTCATAAACCTCAAAATATCATATTTATCCATTTTAAACATTTTATAATAAATTTAAATATTTAGTTTTAGTAATGGATTATTATACTCTTCATAAATTCTCCAACATTCATTGATTGATTGAACTTCAAAATCTCATCTAAAAAATTGAAATATTTTTGGAACAAACCCAAAAGTGCTCAATGTGTTTGTGAAGCATCTCAAAATAATTCGAGCAATCAAAGTTATATATGCAACTCTCTTGCTTTGAATTTTGGTTGTGTTAAATTCTACTCAGAAGTAATCAATCCTAATAAATAAAAATCATTCCTCCCACATGTCACTATCTCCTTCACTATGACACATGTAATATTGTGGTAATTTTGATTAAAATAAAAGCTGCATGCCATTTTGTAGTTTATTTGAATTATTTGTATTTATTTTAATTTAATTAATGTATTCATTCCATTAATAAATCCGTAAATTAAACTACATATATGATATCTTTCCGTTTCTTTTGCTAATATACCTCAAGTCATTTAAATATTTTCCACAACAATTAAATGTTAATTTTAGTTGCTTCAATTCCCTCATTTAATTATCATCGTACAATGAGTGAGATGGCAAACGGGCAACAAGCTGCGCCGCTAAACCTTTTTGTATGGTAAAACTAATTCTTTTAAAGACTACATCCGAAGATCTAGGGGATATAACATTACTATGCATGATCCGTTCCCTCATTAAAACTTCATTTTATCGTCCCTAAAATCACAACAAATTGTAAATCATTTCCTAATTTATGAAAATTTTCTTATATGGTATTTCAATTGACCATCTATTTACTCACGCCAATTTTTGAATCATACAAAGAACTGAACTCCAATTGATAAACAACATTCCTTCATGACAGTTAGTCGATTCTTTCTTTTGAAGTTGAATTCCTGATATCACATTCAGACGACACAATAACTACACCAAGTATGTAATTCAACTTATTTTTTGTTTCAGAAGATGCGGTGTAATTTATTTGGTGTATTGCGATTCTACTTCAACTCATTATCCATCCATTTTTGTTTTCTTAAGTCCTTTTTATACATAGCATCATATAATCATATTGACACAGTAATTAAGTATGTTGTACAGTAGAACTACAAATACACGTTTACTTCTACATTGCTAATATGTCATATGGTGCATTGTATATGTTTGATAAATTGCTTCAGAGAAAAAAAAAATCCTATAATATCTATCTTCTCATAGTTTTGTTGTTGTATATATATATATATATATATATATATATATATATATATATATATGATTAAGGTTATTGATATTAGTTGTTTAACTCAACTAAAAATATATAAAACTGATGCAATGCACGTTTGACTGTACTGGAAGTGTAATTGGATGTTGATGAATAGTAGATTGCTATTAGACTAAAAAAAAACGAAAAGTATAATGCTATAATAAAGGCATTATAGTATAGAAAGATTAAACATGGACTATTTATGTTTCTTTAAAAAAGGGACTATTTTTGTTAATTTTTTTAAACACATACCATTTATTTGTTTTTTTATACAAGGACCATTTTTGTTAATTTTTTTTAACAAATATCATTTATGTTAATAGATTTTTTTGGTTTTTTTTGTCACATGTATGATCTTTTTGCATGAAATGATAACATTGATTTTATTGTTTGGTTTTCTTTCACTTGTATAGTTTTTTCCGTGAGAGCAATGTACTTTTGTTGGGGGTTTCATGTCACCTTGTATGATTTTTTACGTGAAAGGGAAATGTACATTGATTAATTTTGTAAGTCACAACGACATACTATCTAATTTTACACAAATGGATACCAAAATTTAGCTAAATACCCTTTTACTAAAAATAAATTACGTTTATAGTAACCTACTTTCGTTTAATACCATCCTAGTTTCTTATTTCGTTGACATTAATTTGATACTTCCAGAATCAAAACTGAAATTCACATAATTACCATTTTATTAAATTTATATGTATAATATAGCATCCTACTTCCTAATTATGTCATATTATATGTATGTTTGCTGTCAAATCGAAAGTATGTTTCTATAAATTTACTAATTTTCAAAGTCATAGTGACATACTATATAATTTTACATAATTACCCTTTTATTAACAATAAACTAGATTATAGCAACCTATTTTCATTTAGTAACATTTCCTTTAATTTAATGTTATAACATCATTCCATTTAATTTATTTTGATTATCTTACTATCAAAGTTTTAATACACGTTAGAAGTATAACTAGGGAAATATTTAAAGCTAAAAGAGTAATCTTTGTTGAAATAGTTAACTTTTGAATTACAAGTTTTAAATAATAAGTTAATATAACTTTTTATTAGTTTGATTTAAGTTAAGAAGGTGACACAACACTATATGATCTTTTTTTATTCATGGTGCTTTATGTTTTATTGTAAATCGAAAATAGATTTGTAGCCTTAATAATAATTTTTTTTAAAAAAAAGAAAAAACATTATTATTAATAAACTAAGGTGCTGTTTGTTTTTGTGAGGCAAAATGTCTGCAGTCTGTGGACCATATCTGTAGACATCCGCAGTAGAAGAGGTGGACCAAACATCTGCAGTCTGAAATAAGAAGACTGTTAGTTTTTTAACATCTGCAGACTGTTAAGATAAACTAAAATATAATTAAACTGGTTTTGTAAAAAAACTTAAAATAGTTTTTCAATAATTTTATGACTTTATTATAGATAATTAACAAATGTAGATCAACTTTTATGTATTATTATATAAAAAGTGAAAATAAAGTGGTAAAAATTAATGTATATATTTGATAAAAACCAACAAACTTTGGTTTCAAAGTTATACTTAAACATTGTAATTAGGGATAAAAGTATTTAACATATAAAATGAATGAAAATAAACTTTGATTTTAAATGAAAATTTTTAAAATTTTCATGTAACATCCCGACTCCCAGGTATAGTTTTAAAGACTTTATATTCATTTTAATGAAGGAACTCGACGAGTTGGATGCCCCAACTCGTCGTGCCGAACCTATTCAGTCCGCGTGATTTATGACTCCTACTCGACGAGTCGG